TAAGGCAAGAGAATTTTATGATCTCTTGCATGCTGCAGAAGTCCATATAGGTGCTGGGGGACAGGATGTTACAGTACTTTCATGGATGGCAGAAATGCTAAATATGAAAACTCTTTATAATATGAGTGTTGCTAATTGGCAAATGGCATTGTCATTGAGTCAAAAGTTGTTGAGTCCAGAGGACCAAGAAAAGGTGCCAAAGGATTTCTATAGTGCAAAAAAAAATGATAAATGTGCTTGGACTTAGGTACAAGAAAATTGATATTTGTGTCAATGATTGTTTCTTGTACTATGATGAGCAAAGTAAGAATTTAACTGCTTGTCCAGTATGTGGAGAATCTCATTATGAGCCAAGGAATATGTCTGCTATAAGGCAGAAAGATGTTCCAAGGAAATCTTTGTGGTACCTTCCAATTACCCCAAGATTGCAGCGACTATACATGTCTAGAAAAACAGCAGAGCACATGACATGGCATTTGAAATGCCATGAGGATGCGGATGAAGTTATTCATCCTGCGGGTAGTGAGGCATGGAAACACTTTGATGAAACCCACCCAACATTTGCTGATGAACCTAGAAATGTTAGACTTGGCCTTTGTACAGATGGTTTCAATCCATTTGGTTGCTCTACAATGCCTTATTCTTGTTGTCCTGTTTTTCTTACAGTGTACAACCTTCCTCTTGAATTGTGTATGAAGTCAAAGCATATATTTCTTACCATGATAATTGTTGGACCTAAAAGTCCAGGAAAAAACATTGATGTCATGCTTAGGCCATTAATTGATGAACTTAAGGATTTGTGGACAAATGGGGTTGAAACTTATGATAGTTTCAGACAACAGAATTTTATCATGAAAGCTGCATTGCTATGGACTATAAGTGATTTTTCAGGTTATGGCATGTTATCTGGATGGAGCACACATGGGAAGTTGTCATGCCCTTATTGCATGGAGAACACTAAGGCTTTTCAACTTCAATATGGGAGGAAAACATCATTTTTTTATTGTCATCATCAATTTTTACCTCCTAAACATCCATTTCGTAGAGATAAGAAGAATTTTTATCTCAATAGATTTGAAAAAAGCCGTCCCCCCCACCCACGACTAGATGGTACTTTGATGGAAGAAAGGGTTAATCAGCTCCCTGACATAGTCTTTGGTCAACCACTTCGACAGAAACATTCAATTGCAGGATTTGGTGTATTTCATAATTGGGTGAAACGTAGTATATTTTGGGAATTGCCATACTGGAAGGATTTATTGATTCGTCATAACATTGATGTCATGCATTGTGAGAAGAATTTTTTAGATAACATTAAAAATACTGTCATGGATGATAAGGGTTGTACGAAGGATAACACCAATGCTAGATTGGATTTACAACTGTATTGCAATAGATCTGAATTAGAATTGATACCTCAAGATGATGGAACAGCTAGAAAACCCAATGCTTCATATGTTCTTAGTCGAGAGCAACGAGCTCTTATCTGTCAATGGCTGAAGGAATTGAGATTCCCAGATGGGTATGCATCCAACATAGCACGATGTGTTAACATGCAGGAACTTCGATTGTTTGGGATGAAAAGTCATGATTGTCATGTATTCATGCAGCGTCTCTTGCCAATTGCTTTCCGTGATTTCCTCATAGATGAA